ACTGAGGGGGATCAGGGTCTGGCCCTGGGTGTGCCCTGTAACGACCATGGCATTTGGAGTTTGACAGATCTCAGTTTGAGCCCTGGCTCCAACTCTCCACCACCTGGGGGGATCCCAGAGCCTCAGTTTCCCCACCTGTTAATCAGGAACATGGCAGTGCCTATGCTACACCTTGACAGGAGTCAACAGGGCTGTGAGAGATCAGCATGAAGCAATTCCTCCTCCGCTGAGGGACATTTCAAATCCCTGCACGATGCCCCGCGTGAATCTAGAACGTGCCTCACCTCCCTGCAGTCCCCGCGACCTGGGAGGCTGAGGTGGAAGATCCCCCCGAGCCCGGGAGTGAGGCCCCGTTCCTTCCATGAGTCCCTCCATGCTGTCTCCCCAACAGCCTGAGGATGATTCCATTATGCAGACGCAGAAACCGGGGCACAGAGGAACTGGCCTAGCCCAGGGGCCAACAGCTGCCAAGTGGCAGGGTCGGGCTCAAGCCAGGGAGGGTCTGATCTGGTCTGTCCTCCGGACCCCCGAGGGGAGGCCTGGCCCGGCAGAGACGGAGCTCACAGCAGGGCAGGCAGTGCTCAGGTGGGCCTGAAGGTGTGGCCAGACTAGCAGCTCCCAGTTAAGCTCCACGGAACCCTGACCCCAACACGTGCCCAGCAGAGAGGGTCACAGGGTCAGATCCATTTGGGGAACCTTTCCTCAGCTCCTGCAAGAGATGTGCGGCTGCCTTGGGGAAGCGGAGACCCGCAGAGATGGCAGTCTGACTCCACGGCACTTCCGCGCCCGTCCCATTTGCCTGTGTGTGGGAATCACTCTCCCATGGGAATCACTGGCTTCATTCATTCATTCATTCATTAGTTCAGAGACAGGGTCTTGCTCTGTCGCCCAGGCTGGAGTGCAGTGGCATGATCGCAGCTCACTGCAGTCTCGACCTCCTGGGTTCAAGCGATCTTCCCACCTCAGCCTCCCGGGTAGCTGGGACCATGGGTGCATACAGTGCCCAGCTAATTTTTAAATTTTTTGTAGAGACGGGGTCTAGCTGTGTTGCCCAGGCTGTTTTGGAACTCCTGGCCTCAAGCAATCCCCGCTCCTCAGACTGGCATCTGTAAAAATGCAGGCTCTGATTCAGGAGGTTTCGGCCGGGCCGAGAGCCTGCAGAGCTGACAAGCCCCACGTGCTGCCACCCTGGTCCACGGTTGATCTGGGTGTGACCATCTGACCTGCTTTCACCTGACACGTCTTCATCCACCTGCCTACGTGGCCACATAAAACCCTTCCTGCCTGTCCACACCTCCTGCCCTCACCTCTGCTCTCTCCAACCCACGTATTCCGTTCCAGTCGCACTGACCCCTCTGCTGCTCCTCAAGCACAGTGGGCGCCCCACACCTCAGGGGGCCTCCGCACCTGGCGCCCCACGCCTCAGGGGCCTCTCCGCATCCAGTGCCCTGCGCCTCGGGG